ATGTTGAGCAACCTTGTCCTTCACCTCCCTTATCTCTTTCTCGAAGGTAGCGTGAAGGTCCTTCATGAGGAGCATCTGCTCTTCCTTGTCGCGTTTGAACTGCTCTTCTAAGCGGCGGGCCTGTTCCTCCTGTCGGCGGGTCTGTTCTTCCTGTCAGCCCCGCAGCTGCTCTTCCAATCGGCGTGCTTGTTCCGCCTGCTGGCAAGCCTGTTCCTCCTGTCGGCGAGCATGTTCCTCCTGCTGCTCTTTCAACCAACGGGCCTGTTCCTCCTGTCGGCGAACCTGCTCCTCCAGCATCACCATCAGAGCACCTAAGTCAGGTGCTGCAGATGTAGGGGCTACTGACGGGCCTGCAGCCGGTGGCTGGCCCTCCGACGTCTGCGGCGTTGCACCACCAAATCTTCTTTGGTCCGTCTCCTGCTGGCGTTGACTTCGGGTATGGACACCCTCCTTTTCCTCCTTAGGTAAAATCAGCATGATTTTATCCCACTTCTGACACCAATTGTTACGAGCTCGAGGTTCGTGACAATAAAAATTGCCGATAGAATTACCTAGATAAACACTTTAATTCACTTTACACTAATTAAAGTTAAAAACACTAATAATTAATCACACTGATTCACTTTATTCCGCTCCGAAGCTTCGCTTGTCTCGCCAACTTCAATACTTCCCCGATCGCATCTTGCAGCGCCTATAAACATAAATTAGCACCGAAATATCCAGAACATTCAAGTAAACACGCGCAAGGTACCGAGAGTTCGAGTTTCAACTTCAAGAAGTTTAGTTCTTCGGTTCGAGACTAGATGGCGCTAGTGCCGTCGACTTAGGCGCGTAACAATATTATAAATTGCAAGGGAACAGCTGTTTAACAATATGTCAACGGGGAACTTAGCGGTAAGGTCAGGCGACCGTTTACCGCATTAAATGGTGCAAGTTTAAATCCCATAATATTGTTTTGAAAAATCGTAATTTTTGTTTAATTTTTGCACTTTTTATGTGTATTAGGAAATCTGAGAACTTTACATGTCCTATCTAATTGTATAGAGAGTTTCACACCAATATTACTAATATTACTTGGTGTGAACCAATATTACTAAACAGATTGATTGATGTTATAGGTGCCGATGGGCCGCTCTTATCCTGCAGAAACGGGGGTTACCTTTGTTGTCTGTGTTGGTTGATGTGTTTAATTTTCCTGCGAATAATAATTATTTTTCTACTTACTAGCAATTCTTACGTACTTATTCGATTACTTTTCATTGTTTTGAATATCGTTAGTATCGGATTAAGAAGGAATTTTAGCTATTCCTTTTAGAAAAAGATCAAATCTGTCTCGAAACTCAAGGATTTCTAAGATGCGCGGGTTAGTTAGTAGTAGCAGTAGTGTCTCTCTTCTTCTCCTTCTTCAGAGCGTGAACAACGGCTAGGTGCTAATCGTGAGCGTAATGTACTACGTTTGTCCGCAGAAACTAGCACGCAGAGCCAATTACGACTAGAATTTAAACGAGTCCGCACTACTTACTGCTTCTCGATCTCAGGAAAGTGTGGAACAAGGAGAAATGCGATTAGCTATCGACCGGGATCGTCATTATTTGTCTCCCGCATCCGAAACGGTTACACAGAGGGATCAGAGGTTAAGTTTTCAGAATATCCGCTCTGAGACTGCTCTATCACTTGAGAGCAGTCAGGAGCGCGAGATACGACTTGCGCGTGACCGAGAACGTGGGCAAAGCCAAGGGTACAGCTATAGTTTATAAAGAATTTTTTTAAAGTGATTTGCAATATTATTTTTAATTCAGTGTACCCTTGGGATCCGGTGCATTCCACACCGTATCGGTGAAATATACGGGATGAAAATTTTTTTTGTTGTATAGGTGTTAAGCCTAGGTAACTATAGGCTATAATTTATTTTGGAAAATGGAACTAACCGACAGCTAAAGTATAAGAGATATAAAAATGGTGCCATAGCAAAAAATATTCCACGTGAAGAGTTTTTTCTGCTGTGAGAATAAATTTGAAGATCTGGAACACCTGTTGTGGAACTCCGAATCCCAGCGACATTATAACATATATAGGAATGACGTCTTAGCAAAAGTTGTTTAGTCTGATAGGCATTTCGTGTTGACTTACAAAAATGAAAGATCTGGAATGTCTCGAATCGTCTCGTGTATCACGTTGTTTTCCCGTCCCCGGGCTCTTAGAATTCGACATCAGACGTTTCAGATCTTCGATTTTGACGACCCCGTTGTCGCTGGCATAAGCAATATCACCCGCGTACGAAGTCGCGGGTAGCAGCTAGTGTATGTATAATTTGATATAATTATATAATTCTAGTAATAAGATTAAATGTCGGAAACAAGTTAAGATGGCAACATTAAGTACGTCATCAGTCGCGCGCAGAGTTATCTTGCGCGCACTATACGTCACTGCTGATGCACGTGAGCGAACTGAATGATCCCAGATCTTGAATATTTCCCATAAAAGTAGGGGAAAAAATATACACAAATATATAGTTTTTGAAGTATCTCTAATTTGTTTTAAATTTAAATGTGTATTATACATTTGGGAGTTCTACATATGGATTACTAGTAGGTAAAATATATTTGTAATGAAAAAATGATACCATTAAACATTATTTATTTTGAATATTCTTAATATTCTTGTTCTGAATCATTTTTTTAATAAGTCATTAAACTGAAGAATCATTCTTACTATTGGATTTTTAATATTCGTAATAATTTTTATGAAACAATTTGTTGTATGTATTTAGACAATTGCAAAACATCTAATAGCTGATATGTTCTGCCTTCATTTTCTTTTAAATTTTCGGCGATGTGTAACTTTCATCCTCGTCGTCGTTATCTTTCCTCAACACCAGTAGCATTGATGCATGCAGATCCTCTCCGCGGCTTTTTCTTATTATGTCTACAGTTATTTCTGCAAATAGAAGATGTATAAATAAAAAGCTTACACGACACCGTACGTATTTATAATTTAAATATATACATTTTTTATAATGATAAATTTTTTTTTAAGTTAGCTAACGAAAAAATACAAATAACCGGCAACCCTGTGAACACGGCGTCAAATGGCATAAAATTGTACTTCATTAATTTAAGTGTTTTCCTAAACGTATAGTTATTTAAGTTTTAGTTACCGATAATAGGTAACTTATTAAGTTGTTTTCAAAAGTCTTTTGTAACATCTGCACACTTTTATAGCTCATATCATCATTTTATATGCTACAAATACCTACGTGTTTACAGTACAATGACAGTGTCTGTCACTGAAGGGGATGAGCTTATAAGCCGTAGACAGAGAAACCTATAGACAAATTGACGCCTTCTTTCGCATTCGCACACGAAAAGGATAGATTTATGCATACGTCTTGTATAGAAATGAGACAGAGCAGTGTGATTTTTTGTCCCTTTCCCCTTGCCGGTTTTTTTTGTTTAGCAAACTACACTTTGCTAAGATTTTGGAAAGATGAGAACCTGTTGCACATCGTAACAGAACTAGGCAAAACAATAAATTGTCAAGTATCCACGGAACACTTAGCCCACTACACCCGTATTGCTAAACTAAATAAAGACTCCAGCCGCCCTAGGTCTATTGTAGTGCAATTTAACTCGCCGAGTATGAGGGACAATTTCTTGGCAGCAGCGATCAAATATAATAAACTGAAGCCTCAAGAAAGGTTAAACAGTTCTCACGCTGGTGTTTCCGGTGCTAAAACTCCAATTTTTATATGTGAACATCTCTCCACCCATAACAAGGTCCTCCATGCCGCAGCAAGACAGGCGGCAAAGGACAAAGGTTATAAATATGTCTGGGTGAGAGGCGGTCGCATTTTCATGAGGAAGACTGAAGACTCTGAATTTAAAATCATCAGAAACATAGAGACACTTGACAAGTTGCCTTAGTTCCAAACCTACAACCTTTTTTTTACAACATTTTGAATGTACCCTATTTTACCCATTTTAAAAGAGATAAGAATATATTACCAAAACGTTCGTGGGTTGCGTACGAAAACTCACAACTTTTTAAGGGAAGTTAATTGTAATAATTATGATGTAATAGTTTTAACTGAAACCTGGCTTAATAGTAGCGTTATGAGCAATGAGTTATTTGATGACAGATACGAGATATACAGAAGAGACCGGGAAAGTACGGGGTTTCATGAGAATAAGGATGGGGGAGGAGTCTTAGTTGCGGTACTAAAAACTATCAAATCGGTTCGGAAGTTTGAATGGGAAAGTAAATGTGAAGACATTTGGGTGGTTTTGGATTTGAAAATTGAAAACTCTGTCCATCAAATAGCTCTTTGCGGTGTGTACTTACCACCTCCGGTGAACAGGCTAATGTTGGAGTATTTTGTAGAAAATTGTACCTCAGTCATAACAAGTAAATTTGATACACACCTGTGCTTTATTGGTGATTTTAACTTAGGTAATATAAATTGGAGTTTGGTACATGATTTGTCGAATAACTATGTTGCTCCTAGTCCAAGCCAAGCATTGATAGATTTAGTTCATCTTAACAAGCTTAATCAAATTAATAACATTCTTAACAAATCGGACCGCTTGTTAGACCTTGTACTGACCAACCTATCATCGTCCATGTGTACAGTAGCAGGATCAGTTAATATCCTTAGTATCGTAGATCCTCTACATCCCCCTCTCGAAATATTAATAAAAAGAAATACTGATACTGCACTACCGTATAACATCGATACTAAAATACACAATTTTAGGAAAGCCGATTATACTCAAATCCGCCTTTGTTTAGCCGAATATGACTGGAATGAAATGTTTCATAACCTGAATGTTAATGAAATGACAAACTTATTTTATGATATAATTAATAATTTAATAAATAAATATGTGCCCTACAAAAAAATAAGAAATAATTCTTCTCCTCCTTGGTTTAATGTTTCATTAAAGAGAATGTTACGTGAAAAGGAGAACATAAGAAAGCGGTATAAAAAATATAGGAATCACATGGACGAAGTTGAGCTGCGGCTACTTAATAAGCGTTGCTGCACACTAGCAAATCAATCTTATAAAAATTATATAAAGAAGACAGAAGATAGTATTAAGTCGAACCCTAAACTTTTTTGGTCATTTATTAAGGCAAAGAAGTACGGGAAAAGTAATTATCCTTGTACAATGACTGATGGTATTAAGAAGTCATCTAGTCCTAGGGAAATCTGCGACTTATTTGCGTCCTACTTTGGAGCTGTGTATAATTCTCAAGATAACATAAACTCAGACTTGAATGTCAGCCAATGGAATTTGATTTGCAATTACAGCCTTGAACTAACTGCTCCCTACCTTAGCAAGGATCAGATACTGAAGAACATGAAGTCCCTAGATCTTAATAAGGGCCCAGGACCAGATTGTGTCCCTCCTTTATTTATTAAGGCATGTGCGGATGAGCTAGTGACGCCTATATATCTAATTTTTAAGAAGTCTCTTCAATCCGGCCTATTTCCTGATGTTTGGAAGTTCGCCAAAGTTGTTCCCATTCACAAGGCCGATAACGTCGAGGTGGTAGGTAATTATAGGCCTATTTCTATACTGTCAACTTTAAGTAAAATATTTGAATCTCTTGTTTATCCTGTGCTGCAGAACCACTTGAATCATTATCTTACTGAGTGGCAGCACGGTTTTGTTAGATTTAGGTCAACCTGTTCCAATCTGACCTTGTTTACTGAAACTTTGGTAGAAGCAGTAGATAACGGTAGGGATGTTGATGTAATATATACAGACCTTAGTAAGGCATTCGACAAAGTACCTCATAATATTCTTATATCTAAATTGCGTGCATATGGTATTACTGGCTCATTAATGGGATGGCTGCAGTCGTATCTGGATAATCGTAGTTTTAGTGTGGTCGTTAATGGTTTTCAGTCTGTACCATACAAAATTACGTCGGGGGTTCCTCAGGGATCACATTTAGGTCCTCTGCTTTTCAACACCTTCATCAATGACATCCCTAGTTGCTTCCAGTTCTCCACACCATTTATGTATGCCGATGATTTGAAATTGGTTGGCATCTGCGAAACTCTAGAGGACATTGAACAGTTTCAAAGTGATGTTGACCGTATGGTAAATTGGTGTCGAGACAATGGTATGCACCTGAACATAAACAAGTGCTACCATATGAAATTCAGTAGAAAGATCAAGTCACTGAACACATCATACAAAATTAACGGCCACATCATTAAGAAAACGGAGGAAGTCAGAGACCTGGGAATAGTGTTCGATAAAAAATTAACCTTCGTTCCCCACATCGAGAATATTACAAAAAAGGCGTATAGAATGCTAGGCTTTGTTTTGCGTAACGCAAAAGTGTTTAAAAATAATCACATTAAGATCCTACTGTACAACAGCCTCGTACGAAGCATACTTGAGTATTGCAGTGTAGTATGGAGGCCACATTACGCGACACACTCCTTACGATTGGAACGTCTGCAAAAAAAGTTCGTGGCAAATTTGGCCTATTGGAATGGGATTCACAAAAAAATTCGGGCTTACGAAAAACGATTAAGATTCTTTAAAATTTTATCCCTGGAAAATCGGAGAAATTTGCTTGACCTGTCATTTCTTGTAAAAATTTTTAATCAAAAAATTAACTGTCCCCTCTTGCTCCAAAAATTTAAATTTCGTGTTCCATTGAGGATTCCTCGCGCCCCTATTACTCCACTTTGCCCTCCTTTTAGAAAATCTGTCTTAGGTGCAAACTCCCCAATTCCAAGGTTGTGCAAATTGGTCAATGGACATAGTGACAAAGTTGACATTCACGCCGACTCACTTGCCAAAATTAAGGAAGTTCTAGCTTTAGCCTGGTCTGAAACCAACAAATAAATAATAACAGTTCTTACCACGTACTTTTTTCATTATTAGGTAATTTATACTTTTTTATTCGTATTTATAATCTTTCTCGATGCATGTGGTGTTTACCTTAAACGATTGTTACACTTAGCTACGTAAATTAGTTCTTAAGCCATTTTGTTAAATACAGTGTAATCAAACATTGGTAAACCTTAATAAATTAAAAAAAAAAAAAAAAAAAACGACTTTGATAGTTCGTAGCTATCTAAGGAGTTTACAAGTTGGTTTAAGTGAGAAAAAAGTGTTTTGTGAGCTTAAGATTGGTGAATCTTGTTTAGTTCTATTCTTAGAACAATTAAAATTTTTATCTAAATATGTTTAAAAGTCATAAAGATTATTGTATAACCTAAAACTACGTTATCGTCCTTTCTCAATCTAGGCCACGCTAATCATTAGTCTATAGGTCTATAGGTTTCTCTGTCTACGTTGTATAGTAGTAGTCAGTCGTATTAGTATATCCTCAATCTCCTGTGATCACAAGTCTTACGCCAAAGAGTATATAATCACTACGTTTTACATTACGCTTGCTCTCGTGCCGAACTTTCGCACAGCTGTTCTTATTCTCTGAATTCTATTCCCTTTTTGTTATTTTTTGGTTATCGATTAAAGTATAAAAAATGAAGTATAGTGTAAGAAAAATTGTTTAATGCGTAGTTTTACTTAAGTCTATGGTTTAGAGTTTCAAAAATTCTTGTTTTTGAACGCTTTTTAGTAATTTGATATTGCCCGCGAATGTTTGAAATTGGTTACTTTTGAGTAAAGTAAAGTACCTACCTATATAATATATAATGACAAATTTTTAAGTTCAAACAGAAACATTAAATGTATTTATTAAATTATATTACTTTTTAATTTGATAATTTCGAAAAAATAAAAGTAAAAAGTTAGAATCCCTGAAATAAGATCGCGTCATGTAATCGTCTAGTTATTTTGACAGATAACCTAGAACATCTGCGAACAGGATTCCGATGTAAATAATAGTAACAGTGAACTAATAAACAATAAACCTCCAATAATGCAACATTTAATTCAACCAAGTTCAATACTTGAAAAATTAAAACATATACAGCAATCATTATCTTATAAAATACATTTATCAACGTCACAAAAGGTTATTATTTAGTATTATATAGTTTTAGAAATTATTAATTATTTAATTACCTTAATATAATTGCGAATTTATTGTATTATTTTAAATACCAGTACATAAGTGGCGGACATAAGTCTTACAGTATTTTTATATTAAAATACTATGATTGCTATAACACTTATTAGTGTATTAAATGAAACTAAACACTGCTGTTAAAATAGTCTTAAATTCTTCTTATATTTGATAAAATTTACATGATTTATTAAAAATAATAATTTAATATCAATTTTAATCAGTAAAATATTCATTTCAAGACAAAATTTGTTGAACATAAGAGACTAACATGATCAGATGTGATTATTTGTTGCTTATTAATTTATTTGTTATTCAAATTAAATTTTACCAAAATTGGTTAGGTTTAAATGTTAATTTCATATGTATTTTTGTATAAATAATATATTTTTATGAATAATTATAGGTTGTGTTATGGAGCATAGGAGTAGTTGGTACAAGTGCTGTAGTTGTTGGAGTTTTATCCAGATATTTAGCAAGGAGGCGAGCAAAACCAATTTTAAATCCAAGAATCCAAAGAGCCTTAAATAAAAGAATTTCAAGAATGAGAAGTCCAAACGGAGGTATTTTTATAAAAAATGCTTTTTCAAAGAATTGTATTACTGAAATTTGCTTGTTTACTGAAACATTTTATTAAAAGTTAAAATTTAAATTATATTCTAAAGGATACAACTTAACTATTGTTAATAAAACTGTTCGTGAGTGTTTCTCTTTCTGCTACTGTTATAAGATTAAATTGATTTGTAGAAAATAAATACGGTGTAGTGGTGTTGTAAGAATATCCACTGCCATTTCATCACATGGATGTCGTAAGAGGCGACAGCGGGAAACAAATCAGGAGATGAACAACAGTGTCTTTCTACTAACGACTAAAAATAAATAACTGTGGTTGCCGACCCCCTTGCCAATTGTAGCAACTACGACAATTATCACTCTTATGAGGTAATCAATGGGGGAGGCCTATGTTCAGCAGTTGGCTTTAATACTCTCTAACGGTGTAACAGTAATGGTAGAAAATAAATATTTTCCTACTTTAAACTTAAAGTGCATACCTCAAATGTGTTATATCAATAATGTAAAAACAATTTTAGGGCTGGGGTCTGCTGCTAGCAGTTGTGGTCGTAGTAGCCCCCTTGGCTTTAGTGAACGTATGTCTTTAGCATCAGGGTCTATTGGTTCCGGTGGAGGTGATGCTGCACCTCTTTCACCGCAACAATTGGGTGTCATGGGTAAGTTAATTTTAAACCTTATGTTATAAAAAATATATTTTTTCCTGGTAAATGTGCAAATAATAATTTTACAGCGCCATCTCTTGCTGAATTTCTAAACTACGTTTATATTAATGTTCTAAAGAAGTGTTTTATCAAAATTTTAGATGGCGTTCTAAAATAATCATTTGAGTCATTTTATATATATTTAATATTTTAGCGGTATCTATTGACCAGTAGCTGATCGTCTCAGTACATAGACTTTGATACGTTTATCAGTGTATCTTTTGGTGTATTGATTGTTTGGACTTATATTGAATAAATCAAACTTATATTTATCGTTTGCGGTATAATTAGGACATGCATGTCTGAATTATATAAAAAATGAATAATCTAAGGTGTTGTTGAAACTTTGTTTAAATTTTGCATTGCCATCTATTGGCCAGTAGCTGAACGTCATAGTACATTCACTTTGATACATTTGTCAGAGTTTATCTTTTGATGTATAGAGGGTAGTTTTATGTATGGTTTAATAACCAATACAATTTGACGAAAGTAATAGTAATGTAAACATAATATTTAAAATAATTAAAGAGTTTTAAGATTAATTATTCACAGGAAGAGTAATAATTAAAATTTGCAGCAGCATCTATTGACCAATATCTAAATGTCAAAGTAAATTTTCTTGGGTACATTTATCAAAGTGTATGTTTAATAATATGTATAGATGGTAGTTACATGAATGAACCGTCTATTTTTCATGATTTAGGTAATAGCCGTACTGACAAAAGTTATTTTTAACATATGGAAGAGGAGGCAAACAACCAGGTAAAACACCCAGTAGTCAGCCTTTTAGTGAGGACTAAAATTTGATTCAATTGTATTTTAAATATTGAACACTATGAACAAAAACAATCATTATTTTTAGAAAAGTTGTTTATTAAATTTACTAAAGAAATTAACAAAAAAGTATATTTATAATAGAATTATATAAAAAATCAGTAGTAAACAAATTATGGCACTTTTCACCGGTAGTCAGCCTCATTTCTCCACAAGTCAGCCATGTCTTACCCTGTAGTCAGCCTCTCACTTATTCTTGCATATTTGACATAAAAATTCTTTATTATATATATTTTCATATATTTCCCCAGCGAATTCAGTACAGTTTAAATGATACCATGCAAGGCAATTGTCACATCCAATATTTTTAAGTCATTAATTTCTGTTTCGCTAGTCAATTCTTCTTCACAGTTGTTGCATCTTATTCTGTTTATTGTACATGTATTTTTCTTCCTATTTTACTATTTTTCGTAGTCATAGCTTTTATTAATTGCTCTTCTTTGTATTGGTGGATTGGTCTTTTTGACATTATGGAATTCTAAAACAATTCTAAAAAAATTATATTCACGCTAAAATAACCGTGCATAAATCAACCCAAATTAAAAGGCTTTAAGGTACTATTTTATGCAACAAGACTAACGGCTGAGTACTGGATTTGTAAACCCATTGATCGGCCCCCGATATGCAATTACATTCGTACGCGGCCGACTACTGGTAAAATACACTTTTCGTCTCATAAGAGTTAAACCGAAAGTAATGGGCAAAATTGGGACTATTCGCTTCGGCAATCTCAACCACATATAAGAAAATCATGAAAAAACCAGTAGTCAGCCACTTAAGGCTGAGTACTGGATCTACCCTAAAAATTCGAAACCCGGTAGTCGGCCACCTAAATTACAACATATCAAACAAATAAAATGCATTTAATAGTTAACTTTATGACAGAATAATCATTTTAGTGTAAAACAGTACAAGAATCTACCATAAATTACAGCAAATACACCCAAAAACTTAACGCATACTCGAGCGCGTTTCCTTAAGAAAAAAATTGCAAAAGCGATGCGTCTAGTCGTGTCTTTGACAGCAGTGTAAATTAACAAGTATAGCTCACCAACCTGATGAGCTATTGGTTCGTAGGTGTGCATATTAACCAATAAGGAGATATGGATTCAATTAAACGTTATTTTAAAGGTGTAGTCAAATATCAGCACTATTTATAAGGAAATAATGTCTGTAAAGGCTGAGTACTGGCACAGGGCTGACTACCGAGTGTTTTACCCCATGCGGCTCACCTGATGGTTAGTGACTACCGCCGCCCATGAACAGGTGCATCACCAAGGGAGGTGTAAAAAAAGTAAACAATTTAGATTAATTAAAGTTTATTTTTATAAATTAATAGCTGGCCAGGCAGGCGTTGTTCTGCTCTTTCCGACGACAATATTTTTCCAATAAATCCTTAAATTCGCAATATAAAATATTGTGTGTCACTTATCGGAATAAAAACTATCCTATCTCTTTAGTTCAGTAGTAGGACTCTAAGTGTTTGTATTAGTTGAAGTTGCTTTAAATATGACACACAAAGACATTTAACTAGTATTTAAATCTCTTTTATGACACATTTCTTAAAGGCGTAATTACTGGAGAATAGCATAAAAATTTAAAACATAGGTATATCCTCGTCACTTATTTGCCTTTTTATCTAACCATGATCATTGTGACTTGTGGCCTTTAATCTGTTGTTTATTATATATTATTTTATTAAGAACAACTTATGGTTCAACTTTCAAAATCTTTATATGCCCAGATGTTCTTGCTCTTAATCAACATTGATGACATTGAACTATACTTATAGCCGTATGTTCTCTTTCGTAGGATTATTTAATTTGCCATTATATTTACTTAGTAACATTATTTAATCTGTGATTATGTATGCTTTTATTATCATTGGCCTATAAATATAAACGGTAAATGGGTCAACCTAGGAGTACAAGAGGAAACGTAACATATTATAATACCCCTTTCCTTAAGTGTAAACTTGACTTGCACTTGTTACACACTGTTAATTAAAAAATTAAATACGATTTCTTTATCATAAGAAAGAATTTAACAACCCACGGAAGTGGAAGTGAGTGTGGCAGCCGAAGATGAGAGAAGGCCTGTGCTTAGCAATGGGACGTATAAAGGCTGTAATTTTATATATGAAACAACATTAGTTAAAGGCAGCAACTGCTACTTTAACTTTGATAACGTTCCATGTTGGACTCGAACTTGATATCTAATTTCATGTCACGTGATATAGTTTTAAATAACTCGTTCTAATACTTGCTTACCTATCCTCAGGAGCTTTTTTACTAACACGAAATTAAGCCCTCGGGGATATTTAAGCAATTTGTAATAAATTCGTAGAGATTTAAATATGGAATGAATTTATTCTTGTATAAGGCTATGAACACACCAGTAAGTTGAAGTGGCAATAGCCCAGCTATATACATTGCTCGAAGAACCAACAACCGAAGAGGAAGAAACTACCTTATTTCATCACATTAACATATTCAAGATAACTTCTATATTATTATTAGCTTGTGAAAAGATCCCTCGTGTGAGTTCTAATTTTCCAGAGAGGGAGAGAGAGAGTTCTATTTAGCAAATTGTTCGGCGATCATAGTACCATACGTCTTTTATCGTGGGGAAATCCTTATGGATTTCTTATTCTCCGAGAGCAACAGAAAGTTGGTGTCTCCTATCAGCTAAAACTCCACGGTGGTCACCATAAACTTATACGAAAGATCCCGGGATTTCAGTTCGGAACGCAGCCATCGCCATGCGACTTCGACATTTCGACATTCGACTAGAATCGTTCTTGGAGTTCTTCGAGTTCTTAGAATCGAACACCGGATCGTTTGGGTGTGCGGTACGTTGCTTAGCAATGGGTGTACGCAACGCAACCTCATCGCTGCATTTAAGCTATATATACTAATACTAGGAAGAGAAGGAGAAGTCCTAAGGTCCGGTGTACCATTTGCAGTGGGTGCACACTTGTCGGTAAGACCTACTCGGCACTACGTCGAGATCCGTCTCCGTAAGGCTTCGAGGTCACTGACCCTTAAGTGAATCCCTCCTTACGACGCGAAATATGCCAAGAAGAACAACAACGCCATTTTTATAGTTCCCACATTCGGTTCACATTATTGGACCGTGAAGAGAATCCGGGCAATGGGGGTCACCCCAAGGCCAGAAACCTGATGGGCCAAAGTCGTTCACGCAGAAGACAACAAGAAAAAGAGACTAGAAGCACTTCTCGCTTGCAGTAATTACAACCCCTAGCAGCCTTTGCAGTGCTATCACGATGTCTCGAGACTACACCAAAGTAAACGTCCTCATAGGGAGTTTACATTGCTAGGTGTTATTAAATTATAAAACTGAAGTGTTAAGCGATTTACGGTAGACATGGGACGAGTACTCGGTTTGGATTCGGTACCCGGCGAATTCGGCCTTTTTTTAGGGTTCGGCCGAGAACCGAGTTTAACGGCCGAGTACCGAGTACTCGACCTTAATTATATTCCAGATAAAAATATGTAAAGACAAAAAGCCAGTTTTTATCGTCATTATTATACTAGATACTTTAAAACACCAGTAACATGAGACACAGCAGAAATATTGAGAACATACATAAGAATCTATAATAGAAATTATTATTGCTAATATTTTAAATGTAAGAGACGAAGATTGTGATGCAAAATCACTAGTTTTTCGGCACTATTTGGGTCTAGTTTGCTACTTTTTGCTTCATCATTTGGTATATTGTATCGAAAAAAAAGTATCGAGAAAGTACATGTATTTACTCGTATCGTTTTACCTACCTCTGTGTTAGGGAAATACCGCGGTCCGCCCGTTTTCGCGTTTTTTTTAAAGCCGAATATTCGGCCGAGTACTCGGCCCAATCTAGATCGAGTACTCGGCGAATCACTACTGGTTCCATGTCTAATTTACAGTACGAAATGGTAAGTGGCTGCTGCAATCCATGGACTTCAAACAAAGAAGGCTAAGATGGAATGCCTCACACCCTATTTTTTATAAGTACTGACTTTCTAAACCGCAACACAGCAGTTTACTGTCTTTTTCCTGCTATTTCAAACAGCTATGCTTGCCGCTCGGCAGCAGCAGTAGTTAAAAGGATTGTAATCACGACGGACCCGTAGGCGAGAAAGGTCTTCTACTACCGTCCCCGCACCGAGAGTCCGTAACCTCAGTACAAAACGACAATATCACCGACAATGATTGATATAACTCAATGATCACCGACGTTGTTTGCAAAATTTAAAAGTTGAAGAATGCGGATTAAGA